GGAGACACAGAATCCGAAGCTGGCTCCAGGCTCCAGGCTCCGAGCTGTCAGCACATAGCCTGACGGGGAGGCTTGAACCCACGAACTGTGAGGTCATGACCCGAGCCGAAGTCGGACACCCAACCGACTGAGCCACCCAGACGCCCCTGAAGCTGGTGACGCTCTCGAGAAATAAGTGTAAATTCTGTTTCGCCAGTGCTTTTGTCATTTGGACGTTGTTTCCAGAGCATAACACGGGATGTTTAGCCAACAAAGCCACTCATCCTATCTTTAGTGTGTGTAGGTGTCTGTGAGTAGATCCCTTCTGAGTTCGAATCCAGATTGAGGAGTGGATCATAGAGCCATTGGAGAGTCAGCTTCCCTGTGATGCAGCAGGACAATGTGACAGTGGCCGGAGGTCAGGATGGAACTCCCTGGACTGACTTTGCATCCGGTCTGGGCTGAACGGCTGGGAGACCGTGGGCCAGTGAAGATCTGCTCAGATGCATTCATGCCTGGAAGGGAACGGATGTGGAGGGCGGTGGGGGGGGGACAGCGAGGCAGAGCCCGGCCACGTGTGGTCGCATATTCCATTATCCTGCCCAAGGGAAATGGCTTGTCCCTGGTGCCATGTGGAGCAGTGTGCTTCTGGGGGCTTCCCATCTCAGAGACAAAGGAACGGGTATGTCATAACGGGTTTTTTTTTTTAAACAAAGTTTCTCCAGATCGTAGAAGTGTTTGATGCTTATCATATAAAACGTGGAATACATAGAAAACAGAAAGATACAAATTACTCATAACTTGGAAACCCAGAAAGAAAACGCTCTGTAGTCTGGTGTATTTTCTTCTGGTTTAATTGTACCGTTTTTAGAATTACATTTTTTATATAGAATCTGCTTTCTTTGGAAATGGGGCTAGTGCCTCTGAAGACCTGGAATGGTGGCGTTCTGTTAGCCGGGATTTCTCGCCAGCCCACCTTCCCGTTCTGGAGCAGGAGGGAGGGCCGGGTGCTGGCCCGAGTCAGTGCGGCCCATGGTCCACGTGGCCCGGAAGAGGGGCTCGAGTCAGGACCCCGGGACCCAGGGCGGGTGCTAGACGGGGCCGGGAGCGGCCTCGCGTGCTCTGCACCCCCACTTTCTCACGTTGGGTGCTTCCTGATCTTGAGAGAAACGTGTGCTCAGGTGGAAAATTTGGAAGATGTGTAAAGGGAGAAAAAACCCGTCTCTCTCTGCAGCGAGTCTCTGTCTCCCTCGGAAAGGCAGCCGTGCGGGGACACAGCTTTCCCGGCCGTCTTAGGAGGGGCAGTGCCCGGGAAGTGCCGTGGACACAGGGGAGTCCCGCTCTTGTACCCAGGCCGGTGACCCTGGTTACGTGTCTCTGACGCCCATGGTTACCTGCCACTCTGTTTGTCTCTGACTCCCTGGCCGCCTGCCCCCCAGGGTCGCCTCCTGCAGGGCCAGGCCGTGCTCTGAGCTGGAAAGTCCGGGACTTGGCCAGATGGCCTTTTTGGTCAAATGTCTGTTTCTGCCCTGGTGACCATAGGTGCCTGCAAAACCTGTCGCCTGAGTCCCCTCCCAAGCCCCCGCAGCAGAGCTGGTCTCGGCCCAGAGCATCGCTAAGGACACCCAGGCGGGCGGGATGAGGCCTTTAATGCATCTTGTCTCCTAGGCATCACTTTCGAGAACGAGCAGGAGGTGAGGCAGCTCTCCTCCGAGACTGACCTGGAGCGGGCCGTGCGCAAGGCGGCCCTGGTCATGTACTGGAAGCTCAACCCCAAGAAGAAGAAGCAGGTGGCTGTGTCAGAGCTGCTGGAGAACGTCGGGCAGGTCAACGAACACGGTACGCGAGCCTCGTGGGGACCAGCCCTTCCCGCGGGCACCTCATGGGCTTCTCTGGAATTCTGGGGGCTTCCCTATGGGGACTCTGGGAGCCTAACTGGGGGCTCCCAGGGACCTTGTCTCGGAGACCTCGTGGGTCTCCTCTAAGTAAGGCTCAGGGAGGGTCCCTCCTGGGGTGCCGTCCTGTTCTTGGGGTCCCCTTCCTAAGCCGTGTCCTGAGCTCTGGAACAGTCGATGGGCTGGGCGCCCACAGGCAGAGCTGTAGATCATGTCATTCTTAGGGTGTCCTGCTCCTCCCGAGGGGACAGAAGCTGGGGGAGAGTAGCAGATGCCGGCAGGGACTCGCGGTTCCAGGGATGTGGGGCCGGCTGTGGCTCTGATGGCCTCCCCGAGGCAGGCCTCATCTCCGGCCTCCACAGCCCCTCCCCCAGTTTCCTGACCCGGCAGCCAGCCAGAAGGACAGATCGGGCATCCCTGGCTGGGTGTGGCCCCTTCGTTTCCCAGGGCCCGACCTGGCTTTTTCCTCTCCCATCAGCTCGAGGAGCACCTGCCTCCCGCTGTTCAGAAAGCTGATTCCTGCCCTTGGGTACACACGACAGGGCCTGGGGCCACCTGCCAGCAGCAGAGAAGGCTGCCCGGTGGACACCTTTGCCCCTTCTCCTGGGGTCTCTGGGCAGGACCCCTGTCTGACTAGACCTCTGGCGACCAGCCCGCTCTCTTGGCTCTCAGCTCTCTCGGTGCCGGGGCCGAGCCGAGGCGTCCGTGAGGCCTGGGGCTTGGGCGGCAGCACCCGGAGAGGCATGCTTGCTGTGACGAGCTCGGGGCCGCCCCCTGGAGCCCCAGGGGCCCTGCAGTGCCGTAGGTCAGCCCCCACCCGCTGCCCCCCCGCCCCGAGGCAGTCCCAGCGTGTCCGGGCCCCTGTGGCCCCCCGTCACTCTCAGTCACAGTGCTTCTCACCTCGTGTTGTCACTGCCTGACCTGACCCTGCGAAGGCACGCCTCGGCGCCTGGCAGGCAGACTGGAGTGCTTGCCAGATTGGGGGCGCGGCAGGTGGTGGATGTTGACAAAGGGGCAGAATTCTTCAGTCCCGGCTCAGCGCTCAGCCATTGAGCAGACTCTTGTGGGGCCCCTTCCAGCACCAGGGCTGGGGAGACCGGGAGAGGCCTGACCTGTGGCCCCAGGCGCTCCGTCTGTTCGGAGAATTGGGGAAATCATGCCAAGGGACGGTGCCAGCAAAGCTTATGCCGACCAGAAACTGCGGTGTGTCCTCTGCCCTGGCTGCATCCGCAGAGGAGGTGGCTGTGCCCCCTGGGTGCCAAGTCGGCCTCGTGGGCAGAGGCTCAGAGGTGGCCCTCACTGTGCCCACCAAGGGCTGCAAGGAGGCCCCAGGCCTTGCAGCCCCCATAGCTCAGGGGCCGGTTTCCGGAGGGCCGCAGGGCATGGGGGAACAGTTAGTCCTGTTCTCTGATTTCTCTGTCTGCTCTGTCACTTACAGATGGAGGGGCACAGCCAGGCCCAGTCCCCAAGTCCCTACAGAAGCAGAGGCGGGTGCTGGAGCGCTTGGTTAGCAGCGAATGTGAGTATGGCCTCCAGTCCCGCACCTGTGACAGCTTTGGCCCAGCCGTTAGGCCCCCCAGGCCGGGCACCACCTCCACCCCTTGGGCACCACAGCACATGCCCCAAGGCCTTGGAGGCGGGACGGACTTCTCTTCCCAGCCCATCTGGGGCTGTCGGTGTTCTGGACAGTGGGATCTGGACTCTGCCCAGCAGGAGCGCATGGCCTGGAGGGAAGAGGGACAGGGCACAGAGAGGGCAGTGTGACGGTCCCTGCAGGGCAGAGGGATGGGGAGAAGGTGAGTGCATCTGGGGTGCCTGAGTAAGTCTGCAAGGATGAGGAGGCAGTTAGCCCCTGAAGGGTAAAGGGGAAGGAACCGCACACAATGGCCTGGCGGGGCAGTTGTTGGGGGGCGGGGGCTCCCAGCAGGGAGTGTGGGGGCCCCCTCAGCACGGGCTGCGGGAAGGTCGGGAATGGGGGATTTGGGGCATCCAGTTAGGAGAGGTCCTCAGATGCTCTGTGTGCAGCTGCCCGGCCGGGTGGTGGTGGTCAGAGTTCCCCGGGGCCCAAGTTCCAGGGGAGACAGACGGGAGGGGCCCAGGGGCTGCTCACCACTGACAGGAGGCCTGGGCCCTCCCCCAGCTCGGCCACACACTCTCCTCCTGACCTCAGGCAGGCCTGGCTTTCCTCCCTGGGGCTCAGTTTCCCCTTCTGCACAGTGGTGGTCAGATTAGAGGGCCAAGGGCCCCACCAGCCCTGAGAGCTTCTGTACGGGGGGGGGGGGGGGGGGGGGGGGGGGGGGCGTGCTTCCCCCCTTCTCACAGTCTGTCTCTGACGTGTCATTGGAACTCTGGGGGCGTAGCACATCCTGGGCCTGGCTTCCCCAAGGCCCCGGGGCATGTAGGACCCTGAAGCAGAGAGGAAAGTGTATGGCCGATAGGAACCAGAAGGATGGGAGGTTTTAAGGGGGTTTTTTGTGCAGAGGTGCCGGGAGCCTGTCTGGGGTGAGGCGCGCCTCTGGGCAGAGGTTCGTGAGGGTCAGTTCCTCCCGAAATACGACTGCGGTGTGGCGATCTCGGAAGGTCCCTGCTCAGCTCTGCCTTCTCCACCCTGGGGATTTTATGATTAACGGCTCGGAGCTCTCCTGCAGACCTTGTAACTGCCAGAAGGTCACGGGGTCCCGGGGGAGACCACGTGCTCTGGGCTGGGAGGGATGGGTCTGAGGCCCACCCACGCTGAGAGCTGGGCAGAGACGTGGCCTCTCCAGGCGGGTGTGGACAGTGCCGTCCACGGGTGCCAGCCCTGCCATCAGGCGGCCAGGCCGGCCTCCCCTCTGGCTTGGGCTGCCGGCCCCCCCTCCCCACTGGGACATTCCCAGCAGCTTATGAACATGTGCCTATTCCTCCCACCTCAGAAAATGAAGACGAGACCCTCTCTGGACCCCTCGTGCCCATAGCAGCCACCTGCCCTGTTTCTCTGCTCCCCTTTCTAAGGAAGGTGGAAAGGTGCACATCGGTCCGTTTCTTGGCTCCTCTCCCCACTTCTCCCGGGGCCTTCCGCGCGTCATCCCACCAGAATGGCTCTGTCCAAGTCCTTGGTGACTCATCCTTATGCCCCATTGTGTCCACACTCCACGCCTTGGTGGCCAGTTTCGTGGCATCAGAGGCCACCCATGACCCCAGCCACACAGCCTGGGCCAGGCCACTGGGCCCCATTGTCTCCCCTGCTTGTTCCATGTCGGCTCCAGCCTTACCTGTCCCTGTGTGGGCCCCGCCAAGGCTGCCCCGTCTTGACCCTTACCGCTACCCTGGCTCGTGTTAAGGAACAGCCCCTTGTCTGCGCCCCACCCTCTCCGTGGTGCTCACTGCATTCCAGACACTGTTTCCTTTGCTCTTGCTGCTGTCTGTTGCTCTTTTCTGCGATGGGCTTCTGTCCCCAGTGTCCAGAACGCAGTCCCCGCGTGGGAGGCCTCAGAAGCGCCTGGTGAACGGCAGCCCTGGGGCTGGCGGCCCATTCACGATCGTGATCTCTGTGCCGAGTCACTCACTGCACCTCCCCGGGCTCCCCTCTCTCCCTCTGCCTGGAGGACGGTTCCGGGGGGCAGCCAGTCACGTCTGGCAGCCAGCTGTCTTTAGCACGACCCCACCAGACCAGGAGTCCAGACTTGTGCACACGTTGGGTCCGTGTGTACATACCAGGCCTTCCCAGTGCTTAGCACGGTGCCTGGCACGTAGTAGGTCCTCAGTGGGTGCACGCTGAGTGGAGGGGGGGCAGGTGGCTGGGCTGTGGGCTGCAGGTGGCCGTCGCCAGAGCTGGGAGCAGCCAGGGCTGAAGGAGAGGAGGTGGCTGCAGGGCTGGTGGGGGCAGACCCTGGTCTTGAGAGCTGGGCAGCGGGAGGTTCAAGGGAGGAACTGCTGTCCCCAAGGCGAGGAGGCAGGGTGCCTGCTCTCACCCCGGTTGGCCCGTCTGTGCCCGCCTGTCTGTCCAGGACAGAGAGGTTTGTGCCTGGCGTGCTCGGCCTCCCTCCGCCGGGGCCCAGCCACCATCCCCTGCCTTGCCCATCCGTGCGGGGTGACCATGTGCTCGCGGTGCGGGTGGACCCTGTGCCGTTCTCTCTTGTGCCCCAGCCAAGAGCTACATAGCGCTGGATGACTTCGTGGAGATCACCAAGAAGTATGCCAAGGGCATCATCCCCGCCAACCTGTTCCTGCAGGACGATGACGACGATGAGCTGGTGGGCAGGAGCCCCGAGGACCTGCCCCTGCGCCTGAAGGTGAGTGGGGCCGGAGGCCCAGCCAAAGGGCGCTCACCGTGCAGCCTGGTGCCATGCAGGAAGGAACGGGCAGGAGGCCGCTGCGACACGGGAGCCTCCGGGACTGGGCAGCTTGTCTGGGGAGGCGTGCCCCGTAGGGATGGTCCCCATAACTGCATGAGGGTGTGTTCTCGAGAGAGGGGCCTTTCACATGCACTCAGGTTCCAAACCCAGGGACGCAGGTGGGGCGGTCACGCGCGGGTGTGACGGACGAGCACAGATACCCCCCGGGGCCGTTCTCCGCGGAACACCACAGGCAGCAGAGTGGCAGGCTCTGGAGTCCGACTTTCACCGAGACCTTGTCATTTTGAAAAATGATCCGTTTACGGCACGGAATGGAGGTCGGTTTTGCAAAGATGCCTTTCCCCAGACGCAGAGTGCTGGTACTGAGAGACCGTGAGGATCCTGCCGGTCCCTGTTTACCCAGATCCGCGGGGGCTCGGGGGAAAGCCAAGTGCAGTGTGGATAGTAGCAAAGAGGCCACTGTGGGCTGGCCGGACGGAAGGGAGACACTCTGGCCCCCGCTGTCGGCCCGCGAGCCGCCGCAGACAGTGAGGAGCAAGCACGGGGCGTACAAATACGTGCAGAAGGCAGGGATGGCGGGCCATGCCCCTTCTGTGACAGCTTTCACTTCCCCGGTCACGCCATTGAGACCACGGTGCAGGCGGTTCCCCAGGTCCGCTCTCTGACTTGCAGAGTCTACCGTGATTCCGCAAGCCTGGCTGCCTGACCCAGCACGAGCAGCTCTGAGCAGACGAATCATCGAGAAGCTCGTGGCGTTAGTCATCCGAGCACCCGTGTGGTGCGAGCCGAGTGGGAACCGGGGTGAATCACCATCAGTGGGGCAGAGGGGCAGGCGACGGCTGGGCCGCCAGCAGGCAGGAGTTGGGGGGACAAGGAAGCGTGGGGAGTCCCCGTGCCGGAGACAGCTTGGTGTAGCACCTGCCAGGAGCCCAGATGCGGAGGCTCAGACCGGGGCGGCCGGCGCGATGGCCGCGCTCGGGACCAACCAGCGAGCTGCGTGAGTCCCCCGAGATCAGGTGCTGTGGCGAGCCACAGGCCAGGATGGCCAAGGAGCTTGACCAAGGGAGGTCACGACTTTATTGAAGGTCCACTCTGACAGGCTGGGGCTGTGTGTTCACAGATGGTTGCTTTCAGTTTCCTTAGAACTGGAGAGAAGGGGGGTGGGGCCCTGGCCGTTGTTCTTGGCCAAGCCGAGGTGCTTCCGAAATGCCAGTGAGGGTCAGAGGTGAAAGGGTGAGTCTGGAGGGCCCGCGGGCAGGCCTGCGCTGTCCCCCCTAATGATGCCTGTTTGCAAAGCAGCCTGGCTGGGACAGTAAATTCTGTCACTCTCAGTGTTGGGAGACGTCTGAGAGTCCTTTCTGGGAAAGAGATTTAAAGTACTCTGACAAGAAGTACACGGGGCTCTGAGTTTCCTTCAGGTTTTGAAACCATCAGAGCACTTGGATGCCTCTATAGTTTGTCTCATTAAAAGTCTTTTGCAAAAGAGACGGTGAATCCTAGCAGGTGTCTCCAAAACTGGAGGCTGTTGCAGCTTTTAATAGCCTTTTGGAGGCAGAGGAAGAGCAGTGTGCTCTGTCTTCTGGCCCCAGCGAGGCGCCTGGTGCCTCCGTGAGCGCATGTGGCCCCCACAGGAAGGCTCCAGACTCCAGGCCCCGGGCTGCGCCGGCCTCTTTTGTGGCAGATGAAACCGTCGTAAGAGTAAATGCAGTAAAATCCACACGGTTTTCACGTCAGTCATCGCGAGGTCCAACGTGTGAACACTCACCGGGGTCTGAGCCTTGCCGTGACCTGCCGGGTCCCAGATGGGCCCCTTGGTTAGCGGCCTGTCGTCACACCCCTGGCCTCTTGGGTCAGCAGAGTGGCCGACGACCTCCGACCTGACCAGAGCGAGCTGTACCTTCCTGTCGTAGAACTGACTCCCTGCTCTGTTTTTTTAAAAATCTGCTTCCTGCTCAAAGAACAGCTTGTTTTAATTTGTTGGACTTTGTCTACAGAAAGGTTTTCTGTTTCCCAATCCAGTGGGTCCCCAAGAGCAGGGTCTGGATGGAAGTGACCGGGGACAGAGTTGGGACCCTAAAAGGGAAGGACTCCCTGGTCCTCGTGGCCTTCAGGCCTCAGCCGACAGAGGCCGGACACCCTGGACAAGCTGGGCATTAGGTTGGAGAAGCTTCATTGTCCTTGAAAGATCCTCTCAACCACTTTGTGTGGCCTCAAGGGCAAAAAACAAAAGGTGTGAGTGGCTCAGAGCCTGGGGGGAGAACTTGAGACCCATCTCAAGGTCCCAGCCGCAGGTCACAGAGAATGGCCACTGACCACAGCGGCCGGGAGACGCCTCTAGTCCGTCTGCCACTAGCTAGCGAGGCCCCCGTCCCCAGGGATCGGCTGCGCCAGCCTTGCCGACACACCTGTCTGCTCGTTCTGAGGCGGTTGACCTCCAGCCAGCCTGGCTCTATGTCAGAGGGGCCCCCCCAGGGGAAGCCCGGAGCACGTGTGTGTCCGCAGATGCCTGTTTGCCCCCTGCCAAGCATCATAAGTAGCCACTGAGACTAATGTTACAGTGCCCAGCACTCGCTGGTGGCCGTCCCCAGTCATGTGTGAGTGTGATGTCTGCTTTCCGGGAAGGTCACTAGCCCCGGGGAGCTGGGGGAGTAGTTAGCTGGGGTACCGATCTGTTCATTTCCTGGCTGGGCTGTCACAGACATGGGAGAAGGAATGTAACCCTTCACACGGGTGTGTCTGTGTGTGTATGTACAGACAGGTGTGGGCATACACACGTTCTTTGAGCCATGGACTCCTGTAGGAGCCCGGGTGCCCCTTCTCTGTGGAACGTGCCCCATGCCGTTGCTTCCAGGGTATTTGGTCACCTGTAGCTGCCAGCCACATCCTGCTGTGATCCCTTGGTTACACTCACTCAGGCTCCCCCTCCGTGGCCAGTCTTCTCCTCCACGCCCCGGCAGGGCAGGCAGAGAGAGCCTGTCCCGAGGGCATGGGCGGAGGCCGTGGGGCCCACCTCACCAGGGCAGTGGTGAGGTGGGCTCTGGGTGGCAGCCGGGCTTCCGTGCCCCCACACGTGGGTGATCTTGTGTGGTCTGGGGTCCACGCCTCTGCCCCTCCAGACACACCCACACCCCTGCCCTCCACACCACACCTCCTGAGCCCTGGCAGGGCCGGGAGCCTCTGGGAGTCCTGCAGAGAAAACCGGGCAGGAGTGGGGTCCAGCCCGCCTCCGCCGTGGTCTCCCCTGCCCTCTCCACTGGGTGCAGATTGCAGAAGTGGCCGTCGGTTACATGTCTGCTCTGAGCGGCGTGGGTGTGTGGAGGTGGGCGGTGGCAGGCGGCTGGTTCTCAGGGTCCCTGCCACTGGCGAGCACCTCTCCTCTGGCCCCTTCCACGTGAGCCCCCATGGTTCCGTTTGCAGGGAGCTCTTTCTGGAGCCCCTACAGCCACCGCGGCTCCTGGGAGTGTTCAGAGCCCTGTGTGGGCTTGAAAGTATCAGTTCCTCTGTCCTCAGTGGGCTGGGGGGCCGAGGCCCAGCAGGGCAGCCCTTGCTGGCGGTGGGGGTGGGGGGGGGGGATCAGGTCACAAGCCCTGGTGCTTTCCCCCAGGGACTCGGGGTCCCATGGGGGACACTGGCTCACAAGAGTCTGGAATCCCTGGCAAAGATTGGCACGAGAGGGGAGCCAGGGGACACTCTCCAGGGGTGCAGAGGACAGGGGCCAGGACGTGCAGGCCTGGGTGGAATTGAGGGAGGGTCTGTATAGACCGCAGGGCATGGGGAGGACATCACCACGTGGAGAGGGTATTCCTGGGGAAGGACCCGCTGGGACGAGGGGCCCAGGGGTGAGCCGTTAGCTTCGCGCAGAGCTCGGGAGGCTGGCTGGCCGGGTCACGGGGACGGCAGTGGGGGCCCTGTCCCCGCTTGCCTCCGATGCCCCGTCTTTGTCTCCGCCCCCCAGGTGGTCAAGTACCCCTTGCACGCCATCATGGAAATCAAGGAGTACCTGATTGACATGGCGTCCCGGGCGGGCATGCACTGGCTGTCCACCATTGTGCCCACCCACCACATCAACGCCCTCATCTTCTTCTTCATCATCAGCAACCTGACCATCGACTTCTTCGCCCTCTTCGTCCCCCTGGTCGTCTTCTACCTGTCCTTCGTCTCCATGGTGATCTGCACCCTCAAGGTTTTCCAGGACAGCAGGGCCTGGGAGAGCTTCCGCAGCCTCACGGGCCTGCTCCTGCGCTTCGAGCCCAACCTGGACGTGGAGCAGGCCGAGGTGAACTTCGGCTGGAACCACCTGGAGCCCTACGTCCACTTCCTGCTGTCCGTCTTCTTCGTCATCTTCTCCTTCCCCGTCGCCAGCAAGGACTTCATCCCCTGCTCCGAGCTGGCCGTGGTGGCCATCTTCTTCACGGCCACCAGCTACATGAGCCTGAGCACCTCGGCCGAGCCCTACACCCGGAGGGCCCTGGTGACGGAGGTGGCCGCTGGCCTCCTCTCCCTCCTGCCCTCCCTGCCCTTCGACTGGCACCACCTGAAGCTCCTGGGCCAGACCTTCGTCACTGTGCCCCTCGGCCACTTGGTCGTCCTGAACGTCAGCGTCCCCTGCCTGCTCTACGTCTACCTGCTCTATCTCTTCTTCCGCATGGCGCAGCTGAGGAATTTCAAGGGCACCTACTGCTACCTGGTGCCCTACCTGGTGTGCTTCATGTGGTGCGAACTCTCTGTGGTCATCCTGCTGGAGTCCACCGGCCTGGGGCTGATCCGCGCGAGCATGGGCTACTTCCTCTTCCTGTTCGCCCTCCCGATCCTGGTGGCTGGCCTGGCGCTCATGGGCGTGGTGCAGTTAGCCCGCTGGTTCCTGTCCCTGGAGCTCACCAAGGTCGCCGTCACCCTGGTGATGTGCAGCATCCCCCTGCTGTTTCGCTGGTGGACCAAGGCCAACTTCTCGGTGGTGGGCGTGGTGAAGTCCCTGACGCGGAGTTCCATCGTCAAGCTCATCCTGGTGTGGATCACGGCCATCGTGCTGTTCTGCTGGTTCTACGTGTACCGGTCGGAGGGCATGAAGGTCTACAACTCCACGCTGACCTGGCAGCAGTACGGCTTCCTGTGCGGGCCGCGGGCCTGGAAGGAGACCAACATGGCCCGCACCCAGATCCTGTGCAGCCACCTGGAGGGCCACAGGGTCACGTGGACGGGCCGCTTCAAGTACGTGCGCGTGACGGACATCGACAACAGCGCTGAGTCGGCCGTCAACGTGCTGCCGGTCTTCATCGGCGACTGGATGCGCTGCCTGTACGGCGAGGCCTACCCGTCCTGCAGCCCCGGCACGGTGCCCACGGCCGAGGAGGAGCTGTGCCGCCTCAAGCTGCTGGCCAAGCACCGCTGCCACATCAAGAAGTTCGACCGCTACAAGTTCGAGATCACGGTGGGCATGCCGTACAGCGGCGCCAACGGCTCGCGCAGCCCGGAGGAGGATGACGTCACCAAGGACCTCGTGCTGCGGGCCAGCGGCGAGTTCAAGGACGTGCTGCTCAGCCTGCGCCAGGGCAGCCTCATCGAGTTCAGCACCGTCCTGGAGGGCCGCCTGGGCAGCAAGTGGCCCGTCTTCGAGCTCAAGGCCATCCGCTGCCTCAACTGCATGGCCCAGCTCACACCCGCCCGGCGCCACGTGAAGATCGAGCGCGACTGGCGCAACACCGTGCACGGCGCCGTCAAGTTCGCCTTCGACTTCTTCTTCTTCCCGTTCCTGTCCGCGGTGTGAGGGCACGTCCCCGGCCAGGGAGTCTGCGCGTGTCCCCGCCAGGACCTCCAGCCCACGTGTGGCCACCCAGCCAGAGGGCACAGCACTAACACTGAGAGGAAGTGTGTGTGTGTGTGTGTGTGTGTGTGTGTGTGTGTACGTGCACGCACATGTGCGGATGTGGCACTTGTCACATGCAGCCTGCTCACACCTCCGTGAGCTTCGTCTCTGCCCGCCTGGAACGCGATGACGTTGAAAATTGCATGCCGTCTCGACCCACAGCCCCGACCTTGCGGAGCGAAGCTGATGGGCCCTCCAGCCTGGCAGTTCTGGGCCCTGGAAAGCACATTACAGAGGAAGTCCTTCCCCCTCCCCTCCACTTC